AGACTAAAAGTGCTATTTCACGTGTCGTATGACAAGCTTTTCGGATACGTTTATTGGTTGGCGAATAGAGTATTTCTAGATTCTCTGTTCGTTAACCAATGAACGTATCCAAAAAGCTTGTCATACGACACGTGAAATATCAGCTTAAGGGTGCGTTCAGGGAGACGCTATTAACGCTATTAGCGTGATTCTATCCTTGCTAGCGATAACATCTAGCGAGCGATAAAGATAGAACGACGGTAATAGCCCTAATAGCCTCTCCCTGAACACACCCTGAGAAGTTACATAAACGACGTTTTAGGCTAATATTTAATTAAATGTGTACGATAAGTTTTAATTAAATGTGTACGATAAGTTTTTCGGATACGTTCATTACCTTTATAGAAATATCATACTAAGAATCATTGATAATTACTTATTATCCAGTATTTTTAATACTGAAAATAAGTAATTATAAATGATTCTTAGTATGATATTTCTATAAAGGCTAGAGATACTTTATTCGCCAACCAATGAACGTATCCGAAAAGCTTGTCGTACGACACATGTAATATCAGTCTTAAAGTAGACATGGACCACGTTCAGCAGAGAAAACTACTCCACTACCGCTATGTAGCAAACATCTACAAGTGGAGTATTCTTGCCCGATGAAAAATTTTTCATGCAAAATTTTATATGAAATTTGTCCATACATAATTATGTATAATTATATATAATCATATGAAATTATATATAATTATACATAATTATGTATAACAATATGTATAATTACATATAAATTTATTCGTAATTATGTAAAATTATATATGAATTTATATATATAATTATACATAATTATATGTAATTATATATAATTATATATATAAGTAGAATGTATGAACATCCCTTATAGAAATATCATACTAAGAATCATTGATAATTACTTATTATCCAGTATTTTTAATACTGAAAATAAGTAATTATCAATGATTCTTAGTATGATATTTCTATAAGGGATGAGTGGACAAATTTGATACATAATAATATATAATTATATATAATTATACATAATTTTATATAATTTTATATGAAATTATATATGAAAAATTTTATAATTATATATGAAAAATTTTTCATTGGGTGTAGATCTACCAAAAATCTAAAAGAATATTCCAATCGTAGACGTACACGTCCAATCGCAGCGGTAACGGAGCAGTTTTCTCCGCTGAACCCGGCCATTATTTCGTCAACTGACTTTTGTCGTTTGTCCGAAGTTTCAGACGTTAAAAAATATATGTATACACTGTATGTATCCCCCTCTTCATTCAACAAGAAATAAAAATAATTTTTTAAAACATTTCTTGTACCTATTTATTTGTTGGAATAAAATTACGATCTCCTACAAATATCCATACAACCTCCAAAATTCTACTATATAGGGTCCCAGGAACGTCTATACGACCTCCAAAATTCGCCCATGTAAGATCCCACGAACGTCCATACAACTTCCAAAATTCGTCCATGTAAGATCCCACGAACATCCATACAACTTCCAAAATTCGTCCATGTAAGATCCCACGAACGTCCATACAACTTCCAAAATTTGTCCACGTAAGATCCCACAAACGTCCATATAACTTCCAAAATTCGTCCACGTAAGATCCCACGAACGTCCATACAACTTCCAAAATTCGTCCATGTAAGATCCCACGAACGTCCTCTAAATGCTCTAGGAAATGGGGAGCGGTGCACTTGGACACGGTGCTGTGATTGGACTGTGTCCAATTGCCCCGTGTCCAACTGATATACACCCTAGGAAATGTCCATACGAGCTCCATTTTACGTCCACAGAAACTCCATGCAAAACGCCAATGGACATGCAAGAAGCGGATTAATAATATTTGGTCAAAATAACGTCAAATTGATATCATTTTGGTTCTTATTTTCTACTTGGAAAGCTATAATGTAATAAAGATCGTACTAAAATCCAATAAAAAATTAAACGTGAAAATCTATTGCATCCATAATAGATGTACAATGAACGTCCACGATGAATGTTATATGGATATCCATCATCGATGAATTATGGACGTCTAGTAGAGATCCACTTATTGTCCACCGTGGAGATGGATATCTGGTGGAGCTATCGATGATCTATGGACGTCCAATGGATGTTTCGTTCTGTGTGGGTTGGAAGTCTGTGCTCTCTAAGATGTCATATTTATTACTCATCGACGTAATAGTTTTCACATTTTTTTCCATTAGTGAATCGAAAAATATGAAAACTATTACGCCGGTAAATATATTTATAAACTTATTAAGTTACAAATACAATACACAAATAATGGCTTGGTTTACATCGTACACTTGATACGCGTACTAAATAGTAACTTTCTATTAGATAATCTTAATATCGACGATATATATAAACAATGGTATATTAAGCTGGTATAATACGCATCAGCAAAATATATTGTATTGATTGAATACGTCGCCGTTGATATGCATTGTCGATATTAAGATTATCTAATTACTATTTAGTACGCGTATCAAATGCACGATGTAAACCAGGCCAATATGATTGTAACTATGGCATGTATTAACAGTTGTTGTGTGAAATTAGTTTCATTTGTGTCTTCATTCAGTGTTTCATTTTAGTCTTTAAGTTCAATTATATGATATGATGATGATGTAGTATTGTATTTGTATTCGCAAATGAACTGAAAACTTATAATTACGGACACACACACAAAATATTTTTCACATGGTAAAATAAAAATCACAAGTATGCAATAGTTTAGGTAATAGCCGTTGTTTAATCCTGGCGGCGCTGTAGATGTTGACAAACGTTTTGCTGCAGACACAAGTTAGCGGCTAGCAGTCGGGTGTATATCAGTTGGACACGGGGCAATTGGACACAGTCCAATCACAAGTCGCTGTTCCAAGGGACCCTACAAATGTCTCTAATCACACGGTGCTGTGATTGGCTGTGTCCAAATGCACCGTGTCCAAGTGCACCGTTCCCCTAGCAGTCCATGGTTGTATAGTCAATGGTCTAGGTATAATCCTACAGAAGCGTTCCGATTGATCACGGTATGATTGGACACAACCAACCGATGAAAAGAATTATTTAATGAATTACTAGGTCGAACCAATCATTACAATCTGTGTTTAATCGCATCGTGGTCAATCGGGTCCCACCCTAATCCTACTTGCTGCTCTTGAATTAATTTCATTAATACATCTATATACCAGGTGTAGAAGTATGAAACCGGAATTTTTTTATACAAATAAGACGTCTGTTGTTCGAAAGTGATAAATAATACTTTATTCAAAATAATTTCCACTGTTTTGAACACATTTTTCCCACCTCTCTGGCAGTTTATGAATGCCGTGCCAAAAAAACTTTTCATCTTTTGAAGCGAACCAGTTATCTAGCCATTTTTCCACATTTTCATACGAATCGAAGCGTTGGTTAGCGAGAGCGTGTCCTAGCGATGCGAACAGGTGATAATCGGACGGAGCCAAGTCTGGAGAATAAGCCGCATGCGGTAGTAATTCCCAACTGAACGACTCGATCGTTTCCTTGACCCGTTTTGCTGTATGTGATGGGGCATTATCATGGAGCAAAATGACATTGTGTTGCCTTTTTGCATATTCTGGTCGTTTTTTAGTCAATGTTCGATTTAAATCGATCATTTGTTGTTGGTAGCGATTAGTATTGACGGTTTGACCAGGTTTCAGCAGTTCATAGTTCATAGTTCATAGTTCATAGTTCTTCGTTCCTCACGTCAAAATCACCACTTTTGAATTTTTTAAACCACTCGAAACACTGAGATTTACCAAGAGCATATTCACCGTAAGCTTCGACAAGCATTCGATGTGATTCTGCAGCAGTTTTCTTTAAATGATAACAGAAAATCAATGCTGTCCGCAAATCATAGTTAGTAGGCTCGAAACGTGACATGTTTAAGGTTATACAAAAATATACTAGAGAATGAAAGTTGGGGTTATGTTTGTTGACAATATTCGTCAGCTGTTAGGAGAATATAATAGCGCGGCAGTAGCGGTCTTACGGTCACTAAACTGAACGCTGGCACCATTTATAGGGGAATTCCGGTTTCATACTTCTACACCTGGTATATGTAGATATAAAGAAATTAAAAAATGGAATACAGCAATAAACTAGATTCACAATTTCATGATCATGGAAAATATTTTATTTTTCATGATCATGGAAAATATTTATGCTTTGTCTTATATACAAAACAGTTATAGAGCCAACCAATCAGAATGTTTTATTTATTGATTCCTTTATTCTGATTGGTTGTCGTAATCATTTACAACTATTTACGACCACGCTTATGCAATTGTAGAATAGCTCTAAAAGAAGTTTTATGCAGCAGAAAACCTCATTTAGTTATCTGCGCAAATTACTAGAGTTTTCTGCACATAAAACTTCATGCATAAAACGTGAAGTATTAGGGCTATCGCACACAAATTGACATAACTGCATATGCATAGCATAAGACCGTATGTACCAATGAGCATTGAGTATTAAGTCGCCATATTGGTGTTCGATGTTTAATATACGATGCTCATTGGTCCATACGATCTTATGCTATGCATATGCAGGTATGTCAATTTGTGTGCGATAGCCCTTATGCGTATCCAACCCTGTTTGTAACTAATATAGAACGACCTTTATAGAATTTCAGTACTGGCAGTGAATTTCGGAATGAGGTTTGTCGCGTCGCATGTCCCAACGCGCTCCAACGCACTCTGATTGGTAACGTCACCACGCAGACCAATCAGAGTGCGTTGGAGCGAGTAGAAGCACGTTGGGGCATGCGACGCGACGAATCTTTTGTAAAGCCAGTGGTACACGATGCTTGTTTTCGTGCTGGATTGCTTGCTGAATGAAAATATTCTATTTTGATTGGTCAGTCTTCAGACATACACCAATCAGAACAGAATATTTTCATCCAGCAAGCAATCCAACATGAAATCGTGTGCCGCTGGCTTAAGATGAACATTTTCGAACGTATTCGAAGGATGGGCCAAGATGGTGACGAATTTACGAAGCGCATCTTGGATCTCACGGTCACACAACATTGCTTCGAAAATAGCAATAACGTTTTTCTTAAGAAGTGAATATCTAAACTGACTATAATTGCAAAAAGTGCAACGTTATCTCGGTATCGTAATGCGTTCGATTTAACAGATTTCTAAGTTTCATCGCGTAATTACGGAACGTAAATCGAGGCAACTCAGTTACAGGAAGAAAACGTCGTGTTCTGAAAGTTCAACAAAGATAGTGCGTCCCGCGAAAGTAGATTCGTCATCAGCGGAATAACAATTTCGTCAGGATCGACACGGTGATGATCACGACGGTAGTCTAGTGTGCTAACATTGGTCCGGTAACCATTGACGTTTGATCTTGAAGGTTACTGTACTGACAGATTATTTACTGGTAGACTTGACTAGCGAGATAACGTAGTCAATGCGGCGGCGTGATTGCGCGCTAAGCCTGTTTTCATACTTAAATAATCGAGTGTTTTATCTATCTTCTCATCGTAAAGGAAGAATTCTGAGAAGCTAGCATGACTTCGGCAATATTGCAGGTGAGAGTGTAGAAAATATAGATTAATGGAGACTGATGTCTCATTAATAATACAGATGCAGCTATACTTCGAAGATGCAGCTATACTTCGAAGATGCAGAATATTAGCAGCTTCACTCCATAATCAATGATTTTTGCAGAAAGCCATAGATCTTGTGACAAAGGCCACAGAGGAGGATCGCAATAAGAACTATGAAGAAGCTCTCAAATTGTATGAACATGCTGTCGAATACTTTCTACATTCAATTAAATGTATGTGTGAAATAATAAGTAATATTTAATATCTAATATCTTTAAATAAACACAATATCATATATATACATACATATATATATATATATATATATACACGATATGTATGTACATATATACATACAAAGTGTCTCACACCACCGTAAGATATTTTAATATCATATTCTGAAGATAAAGTAGAATACAAAAATATCGAGGCTACAATGGTTTTTTAATTATAACTGATCAAAGATTACCAGTAATATTGCATAAAATTTGCGCGTTCAAACCTAGTAGTTAAACAGTATTCATATTGTTTTATCATTTGTTATCGACTTCACAGTTAATATTAATTTTTACTACACAGCTGATCTCTGCAAACATTAATAATTATTATTGTTATTATTAGAATTATTAAATTTAATAGTTCTACACTTGAAACAAGGATGTTTGCATTTTTGACATAAAAAATAATTATGGAAAATAATTTATTATTATTTTTATATTTTTCACGTTTTATGAGGAGTAAAATCGTATAAAAATTTTCTATGATTTTCATTAGGTATATTAATTATGTATATATATATATATATATATATATATATATATATATATATA